ACAAAATATATCTTTCTAAGTTTAAAATATCAGTAACAAATGTATCATCAAGTATTGAACTAGAACTAGAACTAGAACTCAAACTCAAACTTGAAAATTCTTCTTATTCATGATCTTTTTTGTAATGTTTAGTTCTAATAGATTTAGAAACTAAAAGATCAATATTTTGTTCTGTATCTTTTTTTGACATTTTGAACAAATACAAAGAACTTTTGTTGACATTTAAAAAAATTCACGATATACACAACTTATTTTTTTTTTGTTTTTAAATTAAATCATATCTATATATAGCTGATGATAAGATTAATTGATTTTAAACATAAATGTTTCATGTTAATCAAATTTGACATGTGATATTCATGCAAACTTTTTTTTTAAAAGTTCAGGTATAATATTTATGTAATCAAAAAATAACTTTTTTTTTTAAAGTTTGGTATTTCTAACTTTAGCTAATTTGTTTTTTTTTTACAACTTATAAATGAATAAATCAAAAACTTATAAAGTTTGTTATCACCAACTCACTCTTAAAGAACATGAAAAATTTGAGAATTCAGGCGATGAGTCATCAAATAAGGAGTTTTATGAATTCTCTGACAATAATGTTACAAGTAAATAAATATTCAATAAAAAAACTTTTGATAAACTCATAGACCGCATTACTGCTTTAGAAAATAAAAATGAAGAACTTGAATATAATGCAAGAAGGTCTCAATATTCCCAAAACAAAACAAGTTAGAAAAATATATTGGTTGAAACTAATGGTGCTTCAAACTCAAAACCTAGTAAAGAAAAAGATCTAGATAAAAAACTTAAAATACACAAAAAAATTTATACAAAATATCAGAAATCTAATTCAAAAAGATCAAGCTCTGAATATGAATCAGATGAGATATGTTTTGTTTTCTTTTTTTTTTGAAAATAACAAAAATACCAAATCTTTTCTATTTGAAATTTTTTATTTCAAAAGATAAGAATGCTAGCTCTATAATTAATGTACCAAATAGTCAATCAGCAACTTCGCTAATTCCAAAACCTCTATCTGGAAAAAGCTAATATACAAAGTTATATTTAAAACTAAATTTAGACAGGGTCATTTATAATAGTTATAGAGTAAAAACTGATTAGATGTAATAAATATTAACAAACTAGTCATTAACGAACCTTTATTAGAGTACTTTCTATAATCTCATTGATCGCTATACTCCTAGTGATGTTGAATATAAAAATATTGATAAAAATGTTAAGATTAATATAATATACAAGGTATGTTATAATTTTTTAACTTTCTGATTCTTTCAATTCTAAACTAGTATTACATATTTTTTATAGTTTAAAAAAAAAAATCCTTATTTTTCTGAATGTATTAGAGATTGGGCTTTATATTATCTTATGTATCACAAGATCAATATTATCCATATGTATCATTAATTGATGAGATCTGAATTTTTTTGAATTAATTGAAATAATGTTTCTTTATATAGGTAATAATACTCATCGTAAAAATATATCTAAGAACAAATAAAGGCAAAAAAAAGAAGGTGATTTATTTAGTTTCAAATACTATATCATTTATTATAAAATAACTAAATAGCATTTATAATAGTTCCAATGCAAAGATACAAAATCGTAAATACTTATTCAGCTAATAATAAGAGACTTGGACAAAATAAAAATCTGATGCCTAACTCAGAATACCAAGAATACAATTCTGATGATCAAACAAATTCATCTGTTACTGAACCAGAGGCTATATCTAATATTAATATTACAAAGAAAAGTTTGTTTACATTTTTCGAAATATTAATTATAGATTTTAGTGATACTTTGTCATTTGCTAATGTTAAATATTTTATTACAAAAATAAATAAAACAAAGGATACTAAATCACAAGTTGAACCAGTATCTATTAAAAAAATTGAATATACTTCTCTTGATGAAGTTGATTCTATTACAGAAATAAACAAAACAAAAAATATTAAATTGTAAGTTAAATCAGCATCCGCTAAAAGAGTAAAGAGAATGTCAGTTTTTGATGATCATAATGAAGTTGAAAAAGATACTAAATCGCAAGTTAAACCAGTATCTGCTAAAAGAGTAAAAAGAATATCAGTTTCTGATGATCATACTGAACTTGTAGCTCATAATGAAGTTGAGAAACATATCTTATCTCGTAGGTTGACCTGTAAAAAGAGAACTTAATGAAAATCAAGTAGCTAAATTTATATATTCATATATTACTTTAACTTTTATTATATGCATCATTTTTAATAAAGCGATAAGTAACTAATATATATGCGAATTTTATACACAATTGTATCTTATATTATATACAATTCGTAATAAAAGCGTTAACATATAATGTAATTAATTTGCATATTTAACATATATTTTATGTATATTTTATATATGATATTAGTATCAATACACTTCAATTTGCAAACAAAATAGTGACAAAAATTATATTAAATGTTGATAAAAATTAAATAAAATGTGTACGAAAATTTGTTTAAATAATGTCTAATTTGGGCTCATTTTTTATTACATATAATGTATATATCATGAACAATAAATATTAAATATTTTTTATACATTTAATAGACAATATTTTTCATAGAAATACTATCTTATTAAAATCTTCAAGTGATTTTGGTTTATTTTCAGAGATCATTAAAATATGTGCATGTAATAATCCTCTTTTTGGAATTCAATTACATGTATATGAGTAATAACTCTCTCAAATACACCTTTTACAAAAAAATCATAAGTAATTTCTTTTAATTTTAATTTAAACACCCTTATAATAATATCAGATCGATCACTTGCTTGTTTGTTTGACAAAAGTTTAGTTTTAATTTCTGATCAATTAGAATTGTAAGTAACAGTAATAAATAAATCAGGTTTTTTATATTCTCTAATAATTACTATAAAGTCTTGATACATTTATTGCATGTATCTGATTAATCTAGTAAATGAAGATGATAAGATTATTTTTTTTCTAATCTTATCTTTGTAACATCTTCATCAGTAATAATGTTATGTAAATCTAAATATAATTTACTTCTGTAATATTGTTGCATTTTTTTATATTATTTTAAATGATTTAATTTATCTTTAACATATTAATTTACTAAATATTGCTAAAATAATCTTTTAGCAAAGTGTAATATACTTTTTATTTTATTTAAATCCCTAATTTGCATTTGATAAGCTGCAAATTCTCTAATTATTACTCATTTTCTTTTTTTTTAGTTAATTTTTTAATTCTTCATCATCTACAGATTTAATTTTCTCATTATTATTATTATTATCAAGAATAATAGGATTAACTTCATCATCTTCTTTATCAGGTATATATATTCTTTCTTTATCCTTATCTTTAGTTGAGACAGATTCTAAATTAAGATTTTCAAAAAATTGGGTTACTTCAGAATAGCTAATTATTTGTATTCTATTTTTAACTTTAAATTTAAATTCAAATATAGATTCAATTATATTCAAACTCATGAAAGATATTTAAAACATATCTCTAAATTAAATGATACTATAATCTATTACAATATCTTTTGCTATTTTCTTATAGTGAATATGGATGGCATGATAACATTTTAAGAGCAAATAATAAATATCTCAATATTTAGGTTAAGTATCATAGTTACAGATAAGAATTGCAACTTTTAATACTGTTGGTTTATTATATAATCTTATATCCCTACCATATGTATTATAAATGACTATTCTTCATTGTAAATTATTAGATTTACTTTTGGTTTTAGCTCCTGAGATTACAAATTACTCAACAAATGGATTGTTTTCTAATAATTTATTTTATAATACTTTAAGTATTTTAGCATTTAAATTTAAAAATATTTCTTATCTTCTTTGAAGTTGATTATTCATATTTGAATCATAAAAGTAAATCTAAGAAAATGTTAGTTTTTGATCATTATCTCTTAGTATTAAATCGCCAATCTGATGATATAATTCACCTTAAATTCTAAATATATAAACCTCTTTTAGCATTTACAAGTTTTTTATCAAATTTTACACCTAAAAATATGAATGCAAAAACCTGATTATAAGCTCTGATTTGAGTTACATAAGGTTTATCTAATTCTGAATTATTTTAAGTAAGTAAATTATATAAAATTTATGAAATTAGGAGAAGAGATATCAATACAACCTGTCTATTTAAATAACAAAATTTTTTTGTCTTATTCTTCTATTTTAAAGTATAATAATATTCACAAATGTTATTTATTCTTTCAAATATATATTTACTGTTTTCTACTCTATCTTCTATATAATCATTTATATTGCAATATTCTATCTTTAAAATTAGACTATTGATTTTTTTTTTTGCAATATATTTTTTATGATTATAAATCTTTTATTGTTCTTTATTTACAATGTATTTATTGTGATCATAATTCTTTTTTTGTATTTGTAATTTTATTCTACTTGATGGTTCAGTTTCTACATTTTTTTCTCTTAATTATTGATCAAGAAATCTTTTTCTGGCTTGTCTCTTATTATCAAGTTTTTATTTCTTTTTTCTTTAGATTCATTTTTAGATTATAAATATTTATGTATTTTGTCATATTTGTAAAAAAAATTTATAAATTTTAATAAAAATGTTTTAATATTTTTAAAAAAAAATGTAAAAAAAATGTTAAATCATTTAAAAAAATTGAAAAAATTATTTTTTTTTAAAAAAAAAATTCAAATATGATTTATTATTATATATATACATTATCTGCATATAATTAAATATATATATAAATACATAATACTGTTTTTATTTTCAATTGTTTTAAAATTAGTTTTTTTTTTATTTGTTTAATTTTTTAATAAAATTTGATTATAGATTATCATAAGATGGTCTCCATAATTATTTTCAAATTTCAATTGAGTTGCAACTTAATTGTGTCATAAGAAAATTTAATTGCGCCATAAGTTGCAACTCAATTGTGCCATTTTTTTAATTGCGGTAACCATCTTTAGATTATCAATTATTTAGTTTATAAATTGCTTATTTTTAGTTAAATTAATTTAATATGTATAATTTTTTTATTTTTATTTTTATATGATGTGATAAATCTTTTTATATATTTGTTTTTTTTTAGCTTCAGGCAATTTATATTTATTTATTAAAAAAATATTATTTTTTTCAGCTTCAGATAATTTCTTTTTTTTTACTTCAAATAATTTTTATTTAGCTTCAGGTAATTTCTTTTTTCAGCTTCAGCTATTTTTTTTAAAGTTTATTTTTTTTTTAATTTTTAATTTTCATTTGATTTTTTATTTTTTTTTAACTTTGTTTTTTTTCATTTATTATTTTTTAGTTTTTTTTTCTTTTTTAACTATATTTTTAACTTTTTTTAACTTATTTTTTATTTGGTTTTTTTGGTTTTTTTTAGTTTTTAATTTCTTTTTTTTTAGTTTTTATTTTGTTTAATTAATATATTTTTTTTTTATTAGTTCTTTTGGTAGTTTATTAGTTCCTTTAGTAGTTTGTTAGTTCCTTTGGTAATGATTTATTAGTTCCTTTGGTAGTTCATTAGTTCCTTTGATGATTCATTAGTTCTTTTAGTAATAATTTATTAGTTTTTTTAATAGTTTATTTAGTTTCTTTAGTAGTAGTTTGTTAGTTCTTTTGATAATTTATTAGTTTCTTTAGTAATAGTTTATTATTTCCTTTAGTGTTTCATTTCTTTGGTGGTTTATTAGTTCCTTTAATATTTTGTTTTTTGATATTTTATTTCTTTGGTGGTTTATTAATTCCTTTAGTAATAATTTATTAGTTCTTTTGGTAATTCATTAATTCTTTTAGTAGTAATTTATTATTTTTTTTGATAGTGATTCATTGGTTTCTTTGGTATTTTATTTTTTTAGTAGTTAATTAGTTCCTTTAGTATTTTATTTCTTTGGTATTTTGTTGATTCCTTTGGTAATAGTTCATTAGTTTCTTTGGTGATAGTTTGTTAGTTTCTTTGGTAATAGTTTATTAGTTTCTTTGGTAGTTTATTGATTCCTTTAGTGATTTATTAGTTTCTTTAATAGTTCATTATTTTCTTTAATAATAGTTCATTAATTACTTTATTAGTGATTTATTGGTTTCTTTAATAGTAATTTATTGTTCCTTTAGTAATGATTCATTAGTTTCTTTAATAATTTATTAGTTCTTTTAGTGATAGTTTATTAGTTCCTTTAGTGATAATTTATTGATTCCTTTAGTGATTCGTTAGTTCCTTTAATATTTCATTTCTTTGGTGATTTATTAGTTCCTTTAGTAATAGTTCATTAGTTCCTTTAGTAGTAGTTTATTGGTTTCTTTGATAGTGATTCATTAGTTTATTTAGTGGTTTATTAGTTCCTTTAGTAGTTCATTAGTTCTTTTGGTGATAATTTATTGGTTCTTTTAGTAATTCATTAGTTCCTTTGAAAGTAGTTCATTAGTTTCTTTGGTAATAGTTTATTAGTTTCTTTGGTAATAGTTTATTAGTTTCTTTAGTAGTTTGTTAGTTTCTTTAATGATAGTTCATTAGTTTCTTTAGTAATTAGTTAGTTCCTTTAGTAGTGGTTAGTTGGTTCTTTTGGTGGTGATTTGTTAGTTCCTTTAGTAATAATTTGTTAGTTCTTTTAGTGGTAATTTATTAGTTTCTTTGGTATTTCATTTCTTTGATAGTTCATTGATTCTTTTGATAGTTTATTCTTTTTTTTTTTTATTCTTATTTATTTTTTTAAAAAAAATAAAATAAAATAAAATAAAAATAAAAAAATAAAAATAAAACTAATTAAAATAAAGATTTCAGTGGATTTTATTGTATCTGTTTGTTTTTTAATTTTTATATTATATCACAATTTTGTTTATTATTTATTCTGCTTTTAGCAATCAGTAGTTTTACAACATATCTGAGAAGGTAGCATGATTTTATTTTATAGTGACTTACTAGTATAATACAAAGGGCTGCTAAAAGTCTTTAAATACTACTTTTAGATGTGATTTAATATCAGCAATTTCATGTAACTGAGAAATTTTTGACTAAAATTAAGAACTTAATACTTTTTAATTTAATAATATCAAAAACTAAAATGTAAAAATCTCAATTTTGCTAAAAAATTCCTAAAACTTGATTTTCCTAATAATCAACCATATAATATTTTAAACCTTATTTTATAAATTGTACTTTAAAATGCAT